ATCTCTCTGTCTGTCTGTCCTGCTAACCGGCTCAGCAGCGCAGCTCTTGTCTGTCTGTGTCTTGGTTACTTGTCAGACTGTGACTGAACATTACTGAGTGAAACACAACTATATTTGTTAACACTGACGGGCCACTGTGTTTGTAAAGCTCGGAAAATATAACCACGTTGTGAGAATGTGTTCACATGCGTGTGCACGTAATTAAGCTCATGCATTTCAGCAAGGAACATCTGTGGGACCAGTCCAGACAGGATGTGATGGCACTCCTCATACATCATATTAAAACAAGACAGTGAAGTTAAGTTACAACTCTGGACTAATGCAATTAAATCAACTATGGGTCAGTACATACAACTACCAACTGCACCCACTGATTCAATGGAGTGGATCCCACCTTTCAGAGGGGATGAAAGTGAAGTTTAATCTGAATCATTTCTTAATCAAGTTTCTTAGTTATCTTCTGGATTTTTGAATCATTAGTCTTTGCAAATGTAATGAAATTTCACATTTTGCATAATTACAAGTGTTTGCATTGTGTCTTATATTCTATTCTCACATTTTTATATTTCTTACATTGTATTTTTATTCTCATATTCTTATATTTTTACGTAATCACCTTCTCTTCAAGTGCTGCCGAAGTTACATGAAATGTTTATATCCTCATTATGCTGTGTTAGCATAATATGCTAAAAGGGAGTAATGTAATGGGAATTTCATGAGAACCATCTTTAAAACACTGCCATGTAACTAATCTCACTAGGGGCCTCCAGCCTCTTGGGTATGGGGTCAATGGAAGGTAAATGTTTGTGATGCTTTAGCATATGTCCAGAGGGGTCAGGACTTTAAGTGGTTCACCACATGTACCTTGGACATGGGTTTCTTGGAACTGACTTAATATATAAACGTTTTTCACCAGCCACCACTGCACATAAGACTGATGACACAATGACAGGTGAGTGTGCAAACATGCAAACTATCAAACATACTCATCAGATGTTTGTGTTTGGTCAGTTCAACATATCCGTGTCAGAGCTAAAACAGGAAGGCGGCAGACAGACGGTGTGTCTTCTAACAATAAATTATCCCAGCAAAACAGAAAAAAACACAGGTGTCACACAGAGTTTCATTATCTGAACAGACACTAAAGGCTGATATTTGAATTATACAGAAGAGTGAATTACATATGAACTGGAGACGAGTGAAAAAGGATAAAATGCTGAATTAAAATTGAATTATAAATTACTGATTTTACAGATCAATTTGTGCTGTTTCTGAGCCTTTTATGTATCACTTAAATAAATACTCACATGAGACAGTTGTTTTGGATCAGAGTTTAAAATGGAAATAATGATTACTTTTATTATTCAATTATTAATAATAGAATATAACTTGAAGCTAAATTCTCTTTGGGGCACCACTCTTAAGCAAGAGAAAATGTACAGGCAATTTCTTAATTCAGTCTCATTAAAAATACTAAACTATTAATTTGGAATTCTGGTCAGTAATTAAATTAACAACTATAATAATATTATCATTTATAGATAGTGTGTTGAAGGATTTGGATTTTTATGTGGAAGAGGTTGGCAATATATTCACCCTGATGCAATAAAAGAAAACCAGCATGTATGGGGTAGTGATGGTAGAGTGGATAAGACACATGCCTTTGGTGTGCGAGACCTGTGTTCAACACCCCACTGTGACACATCCACCAATGTGTCCCAGAGCAAGACACTTAACCCCTAGTTGCTCCAGAGGCGTGTGACCTCTGACATATCTGGCAATTCAATCAGCTAAATGAATGAATGAATGTAAATGTGTACACAAGCATTTATTTAACAAGATCAACAAAGCAAAACACACAAGATGAAACTAACTAAAATGCGCTAAACTAAGACTAGATGAAGACAACGAGATATGTGTATCTGAGAAGATCAAAGTTTGTGTCATTGTTCTGCCGTTTGCGTCTTGTATGCACAAGCACATTGACAGACAAAGGACAGACTGTGCAGCGGCAACTTTAGGTTTCCTCCTGCATATTTGTGGTAATTTAAGACCAAATAGAAATACTCTATATTGCTATAGTTAACACTATAAGTTTTAGGACACCCCTCCGAATTATTGAATCGGGTGTTCCAATAACTTCCTCGGTTACAGGTGTATAAAATTAAGCACCTAGGTATGCAGACTGCTTCTACAAACATTTGTGAAAGAATGGGTCGCTCTCAGGAGCTCTGTGAATTCAAGCGTGGTACCGTGACAGGTTGCCACCTGTGCAATAAGTCCATTCGTGAAATTTCCTCACTACTAAATATTCCACTGCCAACTGTTGGTGGTATTATAAGAAAGTGCAAGTGATTGGGAACAAGAGAAACAGCCAGTCAATAGCTACAGACCTCTACACATAGTGTGACCCTCGGATTAGCTCAAGAACAATGCGTCGAGAGCTTCATGGAATGGGTTTCCATGGCCGTGCAGCTGCATACAAGCCTTACATCACCAAGTGCAATGCAAAGTGCCAGATGCAGTGGCGTAAAGCACGACGCCACTGGATACTAGAGAAGTGGAGAAAAGTTCTCTGGAGTGACGAATCACACTTCTCTGTCTGGCAATCCGATGGACGAGTCTGGGTTTGGCGGTTGCCAGGAGAACGGTACTTGCCTGACTGCATTGTGCCAAGTGTAAAGTTTGGTGGAGAGGGGGGATTATGGTGTGGGGTTGTCTTTCAGGGGTTGGGCTTGGCCCCTTAGTTCCAGTGAAAGGAAGGAACTTCAGCGTACCAAGACATTTTGGACAATTTCGTGCTCCCAACTTTGTGGGACAGTTTGGGAATGGCCCCTTCCTGTTCCAACATGACTGTGCACCGGTGCACAAAGCAAGGTCCATAAAGACATGGATGAATGAGTTTGGTGCGGATAACTTGACTGGCCTGCACAGAGTCCTGACCCCAACCCGATAGAAAACCTTTGCGATGAATTAGAGCGGAGGCTGCAAGCCAGGCCTTCTTGTCAAACATCTGTTCTTCTAGAAGGATCGTCACAAATTCCCATGAACACAGTTGAAGCTGTTATAGCTGCAAAGGGCCAACTCCATTTTAAACCATAGAGATTAAGAATGGGATGTCATTTAGGGGACTTTCACACCTGAAAGTCCGCACCAAGGTCCTAACTAAAGTTCATGTTTTGATACCTTTTGATATATTCAGTTAGTTTTGGTTTGGTTTCACACTGCATTTATGTGATCGCACTAAAGGACTTTACCTGTTGTCATCCATGTGGGCTGCGTCTCCCTATACTTGACATAAATGAATGAGGGATGAACATTTAATATCGTTGCCACTGTATTGTTATCATGGCATTAGTACCTGCAGGACCAATTAGCCTATAGCCTACTCAAGGCTTGTTCAAATTCGCCAAATAAATTTATAATTGTGTCCTCATTTCAATGCATTTCTCTGTGCATTTGTTTGTTTCCGGTTCACACGGTAACCTTTTGAACTTACTGTAAATGGTCTGAAAGTCCGAACCATCCAAAAAATGCTTTCACATCAAAAATTAACTGAACCATGGTTCAGTTTGATCCGGACCGAGACTACCTCTTTTCGTCTGACCAAGTTTCGTATGTTTGGTCCGGACCGTGGTCCAGGGGAGGTTTCACGCCTGCAATTTTGGTTTGGATCAAACTGAAAAGTACGAAAGTCCGGACCAAACGAGGTAGGTGTAAAAAACCCCTAACCTTCATGTGCATGTAAAGGCAGGCGACCTGTTCTTAGCTGACAGGCGTGGCATCCAGTGTGATCTTCTGTTGCTGTAGCCCATCTGCTTCAAGGTTCGACGTGTTGTGCGTTCAAAGATGGCATTCTGCATGCCTTGGTTGTAACGAGTGCTTATTTGAGTTACCGTTGCCTTTCTGTCATCTGGAACCAGTCTGCCCATTCTCCTCTGACCTCAACAAGGCATTTTCGTCCACACTGCTGCCGCTCACTGGATATTTTCTATTTTTCGGACCATTCTCTGTAAACCCTAGAGACGGTTGTGCCTGAAAACCCCAGTAGATCAGCAGTTTCTGAAATGCTCAGACCAGCTCGTCTGGCACTAACAACCATTCCATGTTCAAAGTCACTTAAATCCCCTTACTTCCCCATTCTGATGCTCGGTTTGAACTTCAGCAAGTTGTCTTGAAAACATCTACATGCCTAAATTGATTGAGCTGCTGCCATGTGATTGGCTGACTAGCTATTTGTGTTAACACGTAATTGAACAGGTTTAACTAATAAAGTGGCCGGTGAGTGTATATTTATAGGTGACACTTTATTTGGCTAATGTCTGCCTACAGATTGTTTATAGTAGGCCTATTTGTAACATTTCAACAGCTTATTAGTTGAGATTCAACAATTCAGCTGATTCACAAATAAAACCATTTTCTGTCTCGTTAACAATTGAGTAGGACCGATATTAGTGCATTTATTATAATTCCATATAATAGTGTCCTATGTTGCTTACCACAAGTATAACAATAATTTCAGTTACAGCAGTTTCATTATGGTACGTTGTTCTCATTCATTAAATCCTTGTGAAAGAAAAATGGTCTACAGGGTGATTAGTCTCTAATTTGTTGATATGTTAAATGCTAACTTGTCAGTTATCATGACAATTTATACAGAACATGTTCAACATTTTGAAAGTTTGCTGTAGCACTACGTCAACCTTTTTTAATGTCTTGCCCCATCCAGGCTGTGATTGGTCGATTCACAAAAAGTGACATTGATGAGCAACTTTATGCACACGCTTGGATAAAATACCCAATCTTGTCAATGCTCCGCCTCCACCGGTGGAGAGGGCAGACAAAAGTTCTGGCAGCTTGTGAGAAGTGCTGGTACACAAGAAAAAGTCTCAGTACGCCAGTAAGAGTGAATGTGGTTACAAACATTATGCAAACAAAACGTTAAGCTGGACATGGTGCCTGTAAATGTGTATTGTGTGTTTTGTCAGTGTGCGTGTCTTTAGTTCCTGCTTTTGGGAGAGATGGAAAGATAAGTGACTTCATCCTCAGTTCCTGGTAAGATCCGTCATCAACTGTGTATAAGAGCTGGTGTTTCTCTGGTTCAGAACGACTGAAGCTACAGACGCTGAGAAGGAAGAAGAGAAGATCGTTCTGCAGCAGGTTTGCTCACAAACTGTCATTATATATTGACCTGACTGCCACTACAGGTGGTCTCTTCCCTAGAGAAGTATTACTAACATGTCCCTGTCTGTCTTTATTAAAGGTAATCATCATCTTCAACATCTGCATCATCTCCACCATGAAGACGCTGACTCTGTCTGCACTTCTTTGTGCCATGATGGCTCTGACCAGAGCTGCTGGTGAGTATTACTCCATATGTGAGTGAGTGTGAAAGACAGACAGCTTATGGTTATGTGTAATTAAATGTATTCATAAATACATAATGTAAACAGCAGACAACTTAAATCAGTAACTATGTCAAACTGTGCAGTTCTTCCAGACGCAGAGGCTGGAAACTGGACCGACTCGTTCACTCCAACAGGTCAGTCGGTACTTTATAAGAATTATATTAAAGTACAATTTGTCATGATGTTCTCCTGTAAACAAACAGAAATACTGCATTTATCTACTGCTACTGTAGACTCACTGTCCACTCTTTTGTATGACAGAAGAGAATCATGTTGTCAAGAGGTCCACATCATGTCCAAAAGATTGGACTCCTTTTGACGGTCGATGTTATCTCTTCGTTCAACAACCCATGATTTGGGCTACGGCTGAGGTAATGGGGATTATCTTTATTCAGTGAACCTTCCACACAATGTTTGTTCTGTTCACTACTTTCTACACTTCTTCCTCCTCTGTAGAAAAACTGTCACTCTTTGGGTGGAAACCTCGCATCTGTTCAAAACTCCAAGGAGTCCGGTGTGATTCAGGCGGTGATGACATTGAGCAACACTCAAAATCAAATAGTAGCTTGGCTTGGAGGGTCTGATGCACAACAGGTATATTATTTGTCATTTACATAATGTGCAAAAGTTATTTGATTAAATAATTATTGTCTTTTAAACGTTCAATATTCTCTTCTGTGCTCAAGGAGGGACATTGGTTCTGGAGTGACGGAACGCCTTTCCACTTTACTCAGTGGTGTGGTGGACAGCCTGATAACGCTGGTGGTCGTCAGAACTGTATTGGTTTTAATTTTAGAGGTAAATAATAAAACATTATTTTCAATGAGAGCTCAGTGTATAATTGTTGTAAACTGTACAGGATGAATATCAAAGAAAAGGCTGGTGAATTACAATTTTAATATTTTTTGCACTTGTAGTTACAAATACATGGTATTACATCCTAACCTACAAAATGTACACGATTGATTTTGAGATTTATTAGTAACCTATTAATGTAGTCATAGAAACTGTGGTGTTGTGATAACAACAATAAAGAGTAACTGTGAGTGATGATGTTCAAACGGACAATATATCCCAGGATGAATGATCTGTCTACATAATGATGTTCAACAGTTTCAGGTTTGCTGTCTGACTGCTGTGTTTTTGGTTCTTATAGACTCGAAATGCTGGGATGACCAGAATTGTGATTGGCAGTTCCCATCTATCTGTGTCAGAGAGGAATGATAAAAGCATGTGTTTGTGTATCTGCGAGGAAATTCGTCTCTCTCCAGCCACCAGTCTCATATTTGACCTGAATTCTCTTTATCTCGATTTACATCTTTATTTCTTCTCTATCGCTGTAACGCTACTTAAGGAACGAAGCGACAAGTGACATAAACAGCAGCTGGATTGTCTCTGTCTCTTTAATACGAGCAGACTGAATGTGTAATGAAAAGAAAGCTTTTAGCACAAATTTATTCTGCAGAGTGAACTGTTCTTTCTTCTCTTATGCAAAATTAAAAGCCTCAAGCATTGAAACAAGCTGGTCAGTGTTATATCTCTTGTTTGTGTGAGTTTAATTGGCCTAGAACTTTAGCTTTAATACTGTTAAATAATACTGAACATTATAATTGTTGGTAGCACCCAGTGAAAATGTCCAGATGGTACAAAAGGTGACGTGATCCAAACTTTGAATGGATTTTCATATTCAAAGTTTCTGAAAGTGTCCGACAGCATTTGGTTTATTTTAACTCTCCTGTTGTGTTCTGGGCAAAATAAATAAATAAATATAGCTGCAAGCGGCAATGATTGGGATCCAAACAAGTTGTGAAAAATGCAACATTTGATATTTTCAGTGGAGAAGAAGAGATGCAGATGACTTGAGAGATCAAAGTGATGAAAGAATGTGGACTTTGCATTTTCCTAGTTATCTCAAACACCATCACCATGAGATCAGAGAGCCTCATTATATGTACCTGATTACTGGGTGAAATGTTCAGCCCACCTGCAACATTTTGTGTTCCCAAGTCTTGAAGTTTAAGCTGCACAAGAAAGTGTCATGGGATCCAAATAAAATAAAGAATTTGACTCACTATGTTGTAAACACCCCCATTGTCAGCAAGTCTGACTTGTTCACCTGAGGATTTGAACCCTGGAACTTCAGATCTGCAGAGCAGGTGACTTACTGACTGACTGACTGGTGAGAGGCTGTTTCCACACACCTTCTCACAATTTGAGGTCATGACATACATAGATTGTTTTGTCAGTTTAAAAATAATATGTTTCCAATAGTCAAAATGTTGGTGAGAAGATTCGGGAAAAAAATCACACATCATTCTGCTGGTTTTGGGTGTGTTGTCAATTATTTTGATGGCATTTGATCCAAAACTGTGCAAAAAAGAAAATGTTGTGCATACTGTACAAGTTTCAGCAAGATACTCAATACCACTGCAGACTCACCGTTTGAGTGATTTAAAAACCCTTGATATCGGCCATCTAGAGGACGTCTGTGTTGATATTTGAAAAATAGAGAGACTGACTTCTGAATTGACCATAGGTTGCAGTGAGGCAAACATTTGTCAGTGGATTTGTGGAAAATATGTCAGCTCTCTAGGACGTTTTTAAAATGATACATTATTAACAATTATTGTCATAAGCAATGCAGAATTTCAGAAATCATTACAAAATTTTATGCATCAACTGAGTAGTGACCCTAGATCGTATACGAGCCGAATTTTGTACAAATCCATGCAGCAAATAACGAGGTATAAACCTTTTGCATGTGTAGTGCCCCCGAGTGAAAGAATATCCCAGCAAAGCTCGTACCAAGTATCCAAACAGACGCATCAAGTGTGGTTACAATAGCTTAAGCCAATTTTGATTTACGGGCATTTATGTAAAATTGTACATAAGGACACAAAAGTAAAAATTTATGAACAAAAAACAAATTGACATATCAAAATTCGATGCTGCAGGGACAATTTTCACGTCACTTTTCTGTGTCTGCTATGTGGCACTAGAGAGTATCCGGTAGCTATTTGTTATTTCGTACGTCAAGTGTGGAACACGTTGTGAAAATTTTATTTAAATCAACCAGCAGATGGAAAACTACCCCATACACACCACGCTTTTGACCAGAAACAGACATCAAATTATAGTATATAATATTTTTTAGATTGTTTCAAAACAGTATCCTGGACAGATTCCATTCTGGTTATGTTTTCCTCTGGTCTTAACTACAGTCAAAATAATATGTTATTGTACCTCTTTTGCTGAAAAATGAGTGAAATTATTTCAGATAAATGAGGTCTGAACACAATCCCCAAGTCTTGACCCCTTGCCCCAGGTTCTTTGTATGTGTATGAGTGAGATTTCTTCCCCCTTTTGTGTGACTGCAGGATGCTTGCTGTGTTTTGGTTTTTGTGTTGTCTGTCTGTGTTCTCCCCCTTTCCTTGCACAGTCAGCGAAAGGAAGGCGTGGAACACTGTTTATAGGATAAAAGGAACAAACACAATAGGATGGTTAATTAAATAAATTGAATAATCTGTAGTTGCAGTAAATTTTGTGCTGTGCAAACTATTCAAGGATCACCACCACTGTGGTGAAAATAAGTTTTAGGTTATTTAAAATTAAGGTATTAGATAAGAGATACTTATCATAAGGAGTTAGTCTTTTATTGAAAATGTGTTTAGCCTAAAAGTATATTTTGATCATTTTTAAAGATATTTGTCTCAGTTTATGTACATGTGTATATACAGAATATTCAGCAGTATATTTTGAAAACTTCAGGCAAATGCATCTTGGCTGCAGAAAATGTGCAATAGAATGTAGGAGTTCCCAAATGTCTGATCATGGCAAACAGATCCCTTGTTGTTTTCTCCCTGTAGGCAGGTGTTCTTCTCAGTGCATGAACCTGACTGCATCTTTATTTCTCACCAGTCTCTCTACCTCGAGTTTTTCTTGCAACATTTATTTTGCGTTGATCTCTGGTGAAAAGTTTTCATTTACGTAACTGAATTGTCATGTTAGAAGTGGCCAAGTGTATTTCAGTCACAAACTGAGCGAAGAACATGTACATCAACACCAAAAAGCCTTATTTTGAAATAACTACTTGGTTAATTTATGAGGTCTCTGTTCATCCAGTGTATTAATTCCGGTGGGGAACTGGCAAGGGAAAGCTAAAGATTCAAGTCTTCAAGCCGAGTAGTCTTGAAGAAACTGACTGGACAGTTTCTCTCTGCTGGTGCCACAGAATAGATCCCTTCACTAAAACATAATATGTCCTCTGAAACATCACGTGGCTGAAGGCATGAGTCAAGAGCAATGTCACCTTCCTGTTCTGGCTCATCTCTCTGTTCCTGTGGTTGACTTTCATCACAAACCAGCATGTCATGTTTTCTGCCTCACACAGTGCATCACTCTCACACCTGTCTATTTCCATCAAATCATCGGCATTATAATCATCATCCTCCAAGTTGCCATCGTGGTCGTGGTCTTGTTGGATCATATAATTCAGTCTCATCTCTTATAGTGACATCCTCGTACTGTGGGTGAATGCGTTTGCCTGCACTAGTGTAGACCACACCATCACAGTCTGAAACAGCTGATGGCCTCTGCAATGCAATCGTCTCTTCGGTTTTACTCTCATCACCTGAGACTCACTTCTCAGTCGGGGCAGAGCGCTGACTGTTTCCAGTACCTCAGACAGGGCACATATAACATTACCATGTATCGCTCTCTGTCGGCCTTTAGGAAGAGGAATGATTTTGGCAAATGTTATGTACTTGGTGATGCGATGTCTCTCCAGCATGTTGAGATCAGACAGCACAGGTGTAAAATGTCAACAAGCTCCGAGTTGTTAGTTACAGTGAGGCTTGGCATTAATCCATTTTTAAGATGGCTGTGACATGTTGTACAAATACATTCCCTCCTTCTCTCATTGGGGACCTTGCACTATTCATTTAAACACCGAGTGATAAAAGATTGCTGCCTCTGTCTGAATTCCGCATTTTCCTTGCAGCATTTTGTAATATATTCCATTTGCCTCCTTCTGAATTCAGGGTTGTTTTGATAGTGGTTGGTAACTGACTCTCGTTTTCTTTGTCTGAGTTTCCTCATCAGAAACATACTTTCTCCTTTCTTTTCTTTTTAGATTCTCCTTTATCTGTGATGCCTTTTCAGATACCAGTAGTCTCCTCTTGGATTTTTTCCCCTCGCTTTGTCAGTTTACATTCAGTTCAAGTCTTTTAAGACATTATCACAGGCAACAGTATTTACTAATGGAGCAGATAAGCTTGACTTGTCTGATGCGGAAGATTTCAAACTGCATTTACTTGGTAGTTCTAATTCAGTTTGGGTATTAAGGAATATGAAATCAACCTCTTGTTGTCTCACAGACGATACAGAAGTGATGTTAGTGGACACTCCCTGTAGTTTGTAATCACAGACAAGATTGGCATCGCTTGCCATTGGAGCTGTTATGTTCACTTTGAGGAGCATCATGTGATGTGACAGAATTCAGTCTCTATGGTTCTGGTTCAGTTTCCATATCAGTCCATCGTTTGTGTAAAATGTCGCAGGTCCTAATGTACCAATAAGTCTGAATTTACCCTGCTTTTTAACTTTTAAGTAGGCCTACATTTTGACAGAAGTAGCCCACTTTTGCTTGCATACAATACCAATATAGTAAGTGTCAAACATCACAGAAACTACAGCAAATACAGAATGTATCAAGAGTGTAAATGTATGTATTTTTGCCCAAGAAATGATCAATAAATTGAAAAACTAGTAGCCTATTGGCAAATTTATTTTAAACATCTTAATAACAACTCAACTCACTAAAACATAAAACATTCTTGAATTATAACATTTTCTAGAAAAAAAATGTGTTAAACTGATTGTAACAAACATTTAGTTTCATTTAGGCCTAATGGTCAGAGAGAGAGACAGACAGAGAGAGGCATGGACTCGTTGCTCTGCCTCCTCTCCCTCAAAGGCCTCAGCTTCAACAAACTTTCCCCCTGACAGTTTGATTTTAAATGGAATGGAAATTTTTAAAATTTCTTCTGTAGAGGAAGCCAAAAGGCCTCCTCAGTCTCATATGTGGCGTCTCCCTCAACCAACAATTTCAACATTCGTGGCCTAAGCCCATCTTCGTTGGCTCCAGAGGCCGCAACGATGCTGGTTGTGTTTGCCTCCTGTAAGGAAGAAATTAAAATGAGTTCAAACAGAAAGGTCCCCAGTATCTTTAAAGCCACACATGAGTTGACATATCCATGTTTTACATTCATCATCTGGTAGACTCAAAGCTATGTCTGGGGTTTGAGATGAGACTCTGAGATATTTGCATAGGCCTATTACGTGTTAGATATTTTTGTGTGTATTTCGCATGTTAAAATTGGCAATTAAATCCTGTATGTTGACAAATGGGTCAGATGTAGTTCTCTTCCCCTTTCGAAGGAGAACATTGCTGCCTCCCTCCAAAGGCTTACACACACCTGTGTTTTGTCCTTAAAACATAAATATAATTTTTTTATGTGCTCATAGACCATATTTTCTTCAGACTCACACATTCAATCATTATAACATAGTCATCATCAGGCCAACATAGAGCACTGTAAATCAAATTAACACTCTAAGCCCCATCACATAAGTCATCCCTGTAAGAAGCCTATTGTATTTCAATTTGTTTTTACATCTGCGATTCTCAATAACTGGTGTGTGTGATCTGAAATCATCTCTCGCTCTCGCTCTCTGTGGTTCTGAATCGCTCAACGCACTGTAATTTAAAGCGTACCTGCTCCAGGGTGAGGGGAACAGCGTCTTTGCCTACCTGGACCTTTGTTATTTTGGACACTGGGACAACAAGAATATTGGCGTTAATTACACATAGCACACACACAAGAGAACGATGTGAGCATTTTGTTTTTGAAATGATTTTACTGACCTCCACCACGACTCCCTGGCGTTGCACAGGTAGGTCTGCAGGGAGGCTGGACTGAGGAGCTTTTGTCCCTCACTCCTCAGCGCTGCGGACACCTCCAGTGGGACGGACTTGAAGAACATTTTATCTTTTGTTGTAGGTATTTCATAAGGAGGGGACTGGCCCCTGAGGGAATACCCTCTCATCACATAGGCTTGGCCCACGTTTACTTTTGAGGCCTATGACTCTGGCCTGCCATGATGAAACTACAATCTTCCGAAGATAGACTACAAAAAGCTCTTCTTTGACACTGTGCCCCGTGTTGTTTTAATGCAGGTCATCTAAAGGTGGACAAGACGGTGGAAAATATCACTTCATAACCAAGATAGCAAAAATAGGGTACCAGTCACCAAATAATGGAAAGGGTTTTTACATGGAGAATGTTCCCACTGAACCTCCTGACCACAGATATTTATCAACATGAATCCCAATTATTATATTGTATACATTGACTATCACTTTTCTAACATTAACATAGCTGTCCTAATTAGCTGGGCTACTTGCTAATAACTTTTTTGAAGGTGTGTCCGACAGTGACAGCGTTGTGCTGGACAGATTTGTGCAGCGGAGTTCATGATAACCATTCAATTCACACATGGCTGTTGTCAATGTGTTTGTGTGAGAGAGAAAGAAAGAGAGAGAGAGAGAGAGAGAGAGAGAGAGAGAGAGAGAGAGAGAGAGCTGGAATTCAAACCGTAATGGCAGCTGCCCTATACAAACACAGTCAAAGAAAACTACATTTCCTAAGAGAAAATATTTGCTCAGTGCTTTAAAAATAAAGGTGTGAGACAAAACACTACACCAGCGTTGAGGGTTTCATTTACATGTTAAGAAATAAAAATACCGTTTGGACTGTCATGATGGTGTTTGCTGACTAATGTGTAGCAAAGATAATTGGGGCCCACAGAATTGCAGACGAGTCAAGGCAGGGCTGGCCCTGACATTGTTGGACCCCTACGAGAGATTTTAAATTGATGCCCCCCCTTGCCAAACCCAAAAAAGTCCACCTCAGGGGTTGGGATCATTACTCTAGTATCCACAGGAAGTGTTTTAAACATTCAGCAGCCAAACTCACAATTTTAGCATGAATAGACGAACAGCCAAGTCAGTAATCAGGTCAATTGTGAAAAAGTGTGATCAGCATACTTGTCAACATCAACATCATAGCCTAAATTGGGAGATCAGACCTACATGTGTTACTCCATAAATTGTGTGTCAATTCAGAGACTTTTTTTTGCTTTATGGGGTAGATGTCTTGAAATGCAAGAACACTGGTTTAGTTACAATGGTGGAGGGGGCAGAAATGAGGAGAAGGGTCTGAGGTCCTCCTCCAGAAAATTTTAATCATTGAAGACTTAATTTCCTGCATTCTGGTGAAAATTTCTGCACCAATTTCTGCCTTTCTGCCTCAATTTATGGTGGAAAAGTCCTAATTTCTGTAAATGGAAACACAAAATTCAGGCAACAGGTGACAATTAAAACATACAAAAAATTAATGGAATATAATGCAGTAAGATTTTCAAGCATTCTGTTAATAGCCTATTTTCCTCCTGTAGATCAGCTTTTCTAATTTAATAAAATCCCTGCAGAGTCAGTACACATGCAGGCATGCATCCAGTAAAGTGCAGCTCACAGCAAACAGAGCAAGGATGCGTCTCAGGTGCAGCGTTTTTATACCCCGCCCCTGCAGTTGCACACAGCTCACATTTGACTATCAAATTGGGGAAAGTCAGCCACAGTCCTCTCAAATGTATTTATTGACATGCGGTTAGCCGCCTGAATATTTACATTTAATAATTTATTATTGTATTTACCCAATAGATGTAATGCAAAGTGTAAAGGCATCTCTTGAAACGTCTGTGATGTCTGTCTTGGCCAGCCACGCGGCTCTACCAGTTTCCTCGATAAATTTCAATACATCGTTGACAGAAGCACATCACAGGGAGAAGGGTGTCGAAGAATGACTATTTATTAATCTGAGTTTCGTCTGCCCTTGAGTATGGATAAATAAAAAAATGTGCTATTTCCCAGAATATTACTTCCCATTAAGTTACATAGGTTGTGCTGAGCTGTCAGCTGATGTACAACTGAGATGGCTGCTATCAGCTGATATGTTTGAATGAGCTGAGCTTGACTTTGTTGCCTTGCCTGCCCATTTTCATCAAAGACTAATATTGTGGCATTGTTGTTATATTTGGCGGTATGGCTCTGTTCTGCGAGCACACCTCCCTGCCCTTCCAAATGCCTACATGGAAAAGCCATAAGATAAGGAGAGCACCTCCCTGCCCATCCATGCGCATACATAGAAAGTCTGAGGCAGAGAGCAGCAGTAAAGAACCCCCCAAACACTACACTGTCCTTCCACGTGCTTATGTGGAAAGCTATAAGGTAGGGAGAGCTTTTTTTTTTTGCTTAAGTTACTTTTTTTGGACAATGCAGAGGTTTCTTTTGCTGTTTTGCCCGGTATGCCAGATTACCAGTCCAGCCCTGCATAAAATGTCTATGTTTTCGATTTGGCAAATTATCTGTCAAACAAACTAAAATTGACTGCGCCATATGGCTTCGTTCTCTTATCAAATCGTAAGGCTGCAATTTAATTAAATAAGTATAAATAAGATATTAAATCAATATAAATAAGTAATTTTATTAGGTTAAATTTTAAATGAACTACTTTTACTTGAGTAGATTTTTTGTATTGGTAATTTTACTTCTATTTAAGTAAAAGTTCATCAATGTCATCGTACTTTTACTTAAGTAGAATATTTTTGACTGTCTGTCGGCTAATATTTTTAAATACAAAGGATTAAATGACATGTGAACTGGTGAAGAGTGATTAAAGATGATATACTTAAACAAAATGTAACTGTCAGTGATTGGATCAACTCAAAGAAAAAAATATTCAGAGAGAATCACGTCTCTAAAACACCTTCACCTTACATTTTATAATGCAGGAACATTTTTAGGATACCTTTTTTAGATCTTGGTCGTTAATAATTATATCTTTTAACTGTATTGAGGATTTTAGTCATCAGACGTCTGGATCAGACAAATAAGCAGAGCAAACGTTAGTGATAGCTCACTTCGCAGCATCCTGTGTCCGCTGAACAGTGTTGGTGTCTCTCACTGAACACAGGCTTTCCATTAAAACAATATAATAATAAAAGTGATAGATGCTCAGCAAAAGCGCTCACTACATAAATATTAGTGAATAAAAACAATGCCACAAACACAATGTTACAAACATTATACAAACAAAACTTTAAGCTGGACATGGTTAACTTTGTGCCTGCATGTGAATTTTGTTTGTGTGTTTTTTCAGCGTGCGTGTCTTTAGTTCCTGGTTTTGTGAGAGATGGCAAGATAAGTGACTTCATCCTCAGTTCCTGGAAAGATCCGTCTATAACTGTATATAAGAGCTGGTGTTTCTCTGGTTCAGGACGACTGAAGCTACAGACACTGAGAAGGAAGAAGAGAAGATCGTTCTGCAGCAGGTTTGCTCACAAACTGTCATTATATATTGACCTGACTGCCGCTACAGGTGGTCTCTTCCCTAGAGAAGTATTACTAACATGTCCCTGTCTGTCTTTATTAAAGGTAATCATCATCTTCAACATCTGCATCATCTCCACCATGAAGACGCTGACTCTGTCTGCACTTCTTTGTGCCATGATGGCTCTGACCAGAGCTGCTGGTGAGTATTACTCCATATGTGAGTGAGTGTGAACGAGAGACAGCTTATGTTCATGTGTCTATACACAGCAACAAGGGTAGATGAAGACATGAACTCACTAGTGGGTCAAAATGTCCTTCCAGCTCTTCCAGACGCAGAGGCTGGACCTGGGTCAGAGGGATCTGCTGTCCAAGGTGAGTGCATATTTCTTTAGATTTGTAATGGTGCTCTCTTGTTATCAAATACATAAGACATCAGTATTACTGCATGTAAAGAGAAAGAAATTCAATAATAATAATTGATCAAACAGAACTACTTCATCTACTACTGTAGACTCATTATCCACTCTTGTCTGTTTGACTTCAGCAGAGAGTCGTGTTGTCAAGAGGTCCCCATGTTGTCCTGAGGGTTGGACTGCTTTCAACAGTCGCTGTTTCCTCTACGTTGCAAAAGCCATGAGTTGGGCTGTGGCTGAGGTGATCAGGATTATCAGTGAAGCTTCTACATTATGTTTATTCTGTTCACTACTCTCACACTTCTTTCTCCACTGTAGACAAACTGTCAGTTCCTGGGTGGAAACCTTGCATCTGTTCACAACATCCAGGAGTACCAAGAGATTCAGAGGACGATAGTGAAAGACTCTCATAATCAAGGAGAAACATGGATCGGAGGGTCTGATGCAGAACAGGTACATTATCATCATTATATAATGTGCAACAGTTATTTAATTAAAGAATTATTGTCTTATCTTTTTTATTCATACAGTATTCTCTTCTGTATTGAAGGAGGGATTTTGGTTCTGGAGTGATGGTACACCTTTCAGCTTTACTCAGTGGTGTCCTGGACAACCTGATAACTTTCAAGGTCATCAGAACTGTCTGCTAATGAATTTTTCAGGTAAATTTTCACAAACTGTGGTGTTGTGATTATTGTTATAAATATTGTTTGACTTTGTTCAAGATGAGAAATACAGTTTTGAGTGTGAGTGTTTCATGAATTCCTTGATAATCAAGCAAGCAGACTCATAGTACCATTTGTTCTAATATAATCCATTCGCAAATTGCAATATTGTCCACAATAATCGCTTTATGACTTTTCACATAATCCTGCAGCCCTAGTAGAGAGGAAACTAGATGCTGCAGAAGCGGTTTGGTGGCTTCTGTACAGAGCAGCGGGCTGTCATCACTCAGTTTAAAGAGCTCCCACACAGCTGAGGGCTTTATTTTGTTTTCCCTTCGATGTGAACAGGAGCGTTACGTTCACTGCTGTGAGCGGAGGTCAGGTGTGCAACGAAAACCTGAATATTCAAATCCCAAAATTTAAAATCTAATCTATCTATAAAGTATCAAAAGTAATGTAATAATCTAAAATGGCCCTATAGACAGTATTATTATGGATATATATCAGCTATATCATAGGCTGATATATTTTATTATTGGATTATAATTGTTGATGCATTTATGTACAAGCAAAGAATTTGCATCAATAATTTTTAATCGAGTTACTCGAATTTATCAAATTGTTTCAGCCCTATATTGACGGTGTCCAATGTATGTAAATTTTCACAAACTGTGGTGTTGTGATGACAACAGTCAGGAGTTTCTGTCTGTAACTGTGAGTGATGATGTTCAAACGGACAATATATCCCAGGATGAATGAACTGCTGTGTTTTTGGTTGTTACAGATCTGAAAGGCTGGGATGACCGTGGTTGTGAAGCTCAGTTCCCATCTGTCTGTGTCAGAAATGTCTGATAAAAGCACAAACACTGATTTGTGCTTTTGATTTCTGTTTGTCTCTCTGTGAGGAAACTCGTCTCTCTTCAGCCACCAGTCTCATATTTGACCGGAAGGCTCTATATCTCATTTCACATCTTTATTTCTTCTCTATCACTGTAACGCTACTTAAGGAGCGAAGCCACATGTGACATAAACAGCAGCTGGATTGTCTCTGTCTCTATACGAGCAGACTGAATATGTAATGAAAAGAAAGCTTTTAGCACAACTTTATTCTGCAGACTGAACTGTTCTTTCTTCTCTTATGCAAAATTAAAAGTCTCAAGCATTGAAACAAGCTGGTCTGTGTTATATCTCTTGTTTGTGTGAGTTTAATTTGCCTGGACCTCAAAGAACTTTAGCTTTAATACTGTTAAATAATACTGAACATTATAATTGTTGGGAGCACCTAGTGAAAATGTCCATTCAATAAAACCTAATGAGATGATACAGGTGCGATGTGATCCAAACCTCAAATGGATTTTTCTATTCAAAGTTTTCGAGTGTCCAACAGCATTTGGTTTAGTTTAACCCTCCTGTTGTGTTCTGGGCAATATAAATAAATGACTGAGGTATGTTTCATCTAATTGAGCAAAGGCTTTATGTATTGATTTTTAATGGTTTTATTAAAACTTTGCCCCTCCCTGGCGTTCCAAGGAAAATTGACCGGCCTTGAGAAATTAATGTGAGAGACTATATTATATTCAACATATAGAAAACTTCCCCGTACACCCCACACCACACCCATCTAACTATGTTTTTAAAATAAATGTTCATTTGAAAATAAGTTGTCACGAATTTTCTTTCAGAAGAAAATCATTCAGTTTAGGACCAGAAACAGTGGGACAATGGGACTTTAAAAAAATATGATTTCAAAACAGTGTCCTGGTTCAATAGATCCCAGTCTTTGACGTGCCCCTAAAACAGATAAGCCTACGTACAATGACAAAAATGATTTATGAGCACCAGCTGGTTCAAAACATAGTCAGGCATAAAGTCTAAGTTTTAAAGCGCGCTCTTTGACAGAGAAAGAGAGACGTCTGCAGCAGCTGAAGCAGTAAGACAGAAGAAAACAGGGAGAAGATAAGGAAGGTTTGGGTTTGGCTTGCTGGCCATTTAACATTAGCTGTATGCGTGCATTTAGTTGCTTTCAACCTTTCACAGAGCCGACACGCCTGTCAGTCACTTTTCGTCAACAGACCAATCACATTAAAAAAAGTTTGACCTGCTACAGCAAGTCATTAAAAGTTGAACAATATGATTATTGACAAGTTAGTACTTAGCATTAACACATTAGAGACCAATGTAGAGCCTTTTTCTTGCACAAGGATTTAATTAATAAAAACAACCCACAGAAATGAAACAGTTGTAACTGGATTTAATGTTCGACTAGAGGTAAAAATAGTAGGCAATACTATCATATTACTGTTATACTAAGAGTATACTATTAACTAAACATTATACTCTTTTTTTTAATACACTCATGTACAGTTCCTCCTCCAGGTTGTGGATAGAGACTCTGCATTAGACAGATGTGCAATGAGCCGTCTGCCAATATTTGCTCCTTCTAGCCGCCTCCTCTGTAGAGCAACACGCTCCCCTTGTTCTGTTTTACATCTGTTTCACTTGTTATTGTTATAAATATTGTTTGACTTTGTTCAAGATGAGAAATACAGTTTTGAGTGTGAGTGTTTCATGAATTCCTTGATAATCAAGCAAGCAGACTCATAGTACCATTTGTTCTAATATAATCCATTCGCAAATTGCAATATTGTCCACAATAATCGCTTTATGACTTTTCACATAATCCTGCAGCCCTAGTAGAGAGGAAAACTAGATGCTGCAGAAGCGGTTTGGTGGCTTCTGTACAGAGCAGCGGGCTGTCATCACTCAGTTTAAAGAGCTCCCACACAGCTGAGGGCTTTATTTTGTTTTCCCTTCGATGTGAACAGGAGCGTTACGTTCACTGCTGTGAGCGGAGGTCAGGTGTGCAACTAAAACCTGAATATTCAAATCCCAAAATTTAAAATCTAATCTATCTATAAAGTATCAAAAGTAATGTAATAATCTAAAATGGCCCTATAGACAGTATTATTATGGATATATATCAGCTATATCATAGGCTGATATATTTTATTATTGGATTATAATTGTTGATGCATTTATGTACAAGCAAAGAATTTGCATCAATAATTTTTAATCGAGTTACTCGAATTTATCAAATTGTTTCAGCCCTATATTGACGGTGTCCAATGTATGTGGAGGATGAAAAACGTCTCCTATTTATTCAGCTAAATAAACTATTTAGGACAGTGAAGGTATTTTCTTTGTTGATATGTTTTGTATCCAAAATATAATGTTATAGTTGTCAAATTCGCCTAGTTGAGTATAAAGTGCAATATTTAACATTGAATTGTGGAGGAACAGAAGTGTAAAGTCCCAGAAAATGGAAAAACAAAATACACACAACTAAAAATGATACTGAAGTGGCCTACTTTAGTAAGAGTTATAGCCAGTAAAACTCCAGCAGCGTGGAGTCAGAGCCATCATATAGATGCTGACACAGTCAGCATCTATATGTTGGACATTAAAGAAACCTTTAATAAAGAGAGACAGATGTGTTACTCACACTTATTTAGCGAACAGGCTACTTGTACTGATACTGTCAGTACTTTAAGGGGAACAAAGATGATGATATCAAAGTTCATAGCTAGTTTTATGTTACGAAAAATGACTCATTGTTAAATTTCTCTGGAATTTATCCAGCGATGGTTTCACCCAACAATGCCCTGTTTCAGTCTCACATGTTGAACAAGGCTCATCTGACAGCAAACATGAATCTGATATATATTTCTTAACAATGATTAATAACTACTCCAGATCTTGAGAAGTCCAGGTCACAAAGAATTACAGTTTGACTGCGTCCCACAGACTGTTTATTAAAGTTTGTATCTCTCTGTCAATCAATATATTAATATAGCCTATAGAAATCTATTTACTCATGATCCATCAGGGAAGCTACCGTCTTGTTAAGAGGAGCTCCCCGTAGTTTGCACAGTCTCTGTGTTGGTGAATTATTAAAAAACTAAACACCTCTTAATTTCAGGTTAAAGTGCGTTGTAACGCGCTTTACTGAGATTATAATGGGTATAATATTACTGATTTTTATTTGCATTATATTACTGCGTTACAGCAAAAACTAACACATTACTGTAATTGTGTTACTTTTGTAACACGTTACTCCCAACACTGATCACAACCCAATTGGAATTTGTTCTTTTTAAATACATTTATTACAGGTCATTTAATCAATTGCAGGCAGGTCAAACACGCTCACTCAATAGTTTGAGTTCTGCTTAAAAATGATCTTGCATGTTTCTTTAGTGAGCACATTTCACAGCTTCATGGTTACAAACATTATGGAAACAAACCTTTCAGCTGGACTTAGTGAACATGTTGCCTGTAAATGTGTATTTGAGTTGTGTGTTTTGTCTTTAGTTCCTTGGTTTTGTGAGGTGGCAAGATAAGTAACTTCATCCTCAGTTCCTGGTAAGATCCGTCTGCAACTGTATATAAGAGCTGATGTTTCTCTGGTTCAGAACGACTGAAGCTACAGACGCTGAGAAGGAAGAAGAGAAGATCGTTCTGCAGCAGGTTTGCTCACAAACTGTCATTATATATTGACCTGACTGCCGCTACAGGTGGTCTCTTCCCTAGAGAAGTGTTACTAACATGTCCCTGTCTGTCTTTATTAAAGGTAATCATCATCTTCAACATCTGCATCATCTCCACCATGAAGACGCTGACTCTGTCTGCACTTCTTTGTGCCATGATGGCTCTGACCAGAGCTGCTGGTGAGTATTACTCCATATGTGAGTGTGAACGAGAGACAGCTTATGTTCATGTGTCTATACACAGCAACAAGGGTAGATGAAGACATGAACTCACTAGTGGGTCAAAATGTCCTTCCAGCTCTTCCAGATGCAGAGGCTGGAAATCGGACTGACTTGTTCACTCCAACAGGTCAGTGGTACTTTATCAGAACTACACAAATATGTGTGTGTGTATATATATATATATATCTGTATAATTCTGAAAATCTTTTTATCCTCCTGTAAACAAACAGAACGACTGCATCTACTACTGTAGACTCATTATCCTTGTCTGTTTGACTTCAGGAGGGAGTCATGTTGTCAAGAGGGCCACATCTTGTCCCAGTGGCTGGATTCCTTTCAACGGTCGATGTTACCTCTATGTTGCGCAAATCATGAGCTGGGCTTTGGCTGAGGTAATTATTCAGTGATGCTTCTACACTACGTCTATTCTGCTCACTAGTTTCAACTCTAAATCACAACTTTCTGCACTTCTTTCTCCGCTGTAGAGAAACTGTCACTCTCTGGGTGGAAACCTCGCATCTGTACAAAACTCCAAGGAGTTTGGTGTGATTCACATCATGTCGACATCGAGCATCACTCAAAATCAAGTTGTAGCGTGGATTGGAGGGTCTGATGCACAACAGGTTTCTTATCCATCATTACATAATGTGCAACAGTTATTTGATTAAATAATTATTGTCTTTTATATGTACAAACTTCTCTTTTGTATTCAAGGAGTCACTGTGGTTCTGGAGTGACGGAACGCCTTTCCACTTTACTCAGTGGTGTAGTGGACAGCCTGATAACGCTGGTGGTCGTCAGAACTGTCTTGGCTTTAATTTTAGAGGTAAATAATATAATAATATTTTCAATGAGAGGCACTGGTCTATCTTGTGTGCGTGTGGTTTTCCCGCGTTTGCATGTTGTGTTGCATGTGTTGTCCCCACCTTCCACCCCCCTTCTCTTACAGGTCTTGTCCTTTCTCTGTGCTGTCTGTTTGTGCCCCCCCATCCCTGTGTCTGCCCCCCTGTCCGGCCCGGTGACAAATCAATACATAATTAAATAAATAATAAAACAGACAAAGGAGTATATTAATACTCTCTTGTTAAAGTAAAATCTGTCTGGCACAATATGGTATCCAGGTCATCATACTCTATACCAGGCTGCTGGGCAGGACAGGTTTAAAAAAACAAATGAAACGAAACAAAAAACAACAAAAAAAACTGTATTGGTTTTACTTTTAGAGGTACATGAGATAAAATGATTTTCCATGAGAGCTCAGTGTGTGATTGGTGTAAATAGTACTGGATGAATATCAAAGAAAAGGCTGGTGAATTACATGTAACATGAAGTCACTCTAAGTTACAAATACATGGCAAAATTTCATAGACTACAGAAAACACTATTGATTTTGTTTTTGATT